CTATAAAGAGGTTGCAGAAGCCATATAAAATAATTCAAGGCTATAGCTGCAATTCAAGGCTATAGCTGCACTCTCATGACCAGTGACAATTGGGCTGGCGAGGCAGTGCTCACCTCAAAAAGGTCTTGGCCTCTTTGGGTGGTACAGGCTGTGGCAGAGGCTTGCTGCTGTTGAACTCAATATCGTGGATGGGTGAGTTTGGAATGGGCTCCAGGCGTGTAGGGTGTCCGTTTCCCATTACGGCAGTCTCCACTGCACTTAGGTTAGGGGAACTCACAAACCTGTTTGCAGACTTATCATTCATCTTCTTCTTTTGCTGTTTTGAAAACAAGTAAGGCATTTAAAACTACACCATAGTCCACTCAGTGTGTATGTGTATATGAAATAACATACAAGGTTACAGGCAACATTAGGAAGGCTTGGCCATTTAAAAAAAAAAAAAGAAAGAAAAGAGAAGTAATTTCACTTCAAAGCATTGTTTCTATTATGGAAAATGTCTGGCAGATGAATTCACCTATTCACAGTCTATATCTCTTGGTCATTCTTGTGTCAATACCTTTACATCTGGTTTCAAGGTCCACCCAACTGTCATGGCGATCAAAGGTAAGCAATATCTCTGTTGAATGAATTTAATTTGCTACAAGGCAACAGTTACAATAGGTGGAAAAGGTAGAATAGTACTAGATACTTCACTGTTAACACATGACCAAAATATTAGTTTTGAGTGAACTATACTTTTAACTGAGCCTTACATCAAAACATATTATGTTAAATAATAAAATTTTAATTGCCTTTAAGGCCACTGACCTCTTTTGGGAGTCCAGGGCATACCATGAGGATACGCCTTTTGCCATTTTAACTTCTTGATATATTCAAACTGATTTTTTTATGTAATAGCTTCAGTTATCTGCCCCATTATGTTATGTAACCATGGCTCCCATCATAATAAACTAGAGAGAAATAGAGTAGCACTCTTGTCACACTTTTACAGTCAGACCTGTCTCTGACAGAGAACTCTTCAGGCGGTTTCTTCAAATGATGATGCCATCACCAAAGCCATACAGTAAGCAATTATGTAATGAAGCCATTGTTAAATACTTAATGGGGCAAACAGAGAGAACTTTGACATTACCATTGCATTACTTAAAAATGCAAAAAAGTGACCTTGTCCTTTAAAAACCTTATATTTCCAGAATGCACTAAAATATTCATCAATGTAAAAGAGAAGTACATTTTCTACCTCCTGTTCTACTCCCCCTATTTACAAGTTTTTAAACTGATATTTAATTTTTTTTTAATTATGTATATAAAATATTTATTTTAGAAATACACATGCAAGGATTGCCAATGAAACTGATGTCACAGAACATTATGGCTTTTTATAGAGAGAGCACAGCAAAAGCAGTTTCCTTTTAGACTGTCTGGAACTGAAAGTTTGTACAGAGAAGTGGGAGCAGCCTAAGCAATTGAAGTTTGTATATTACTGTACAGGCTTCATCAGCAAATCATTAAAGATTAGCTTGTTGAACATTTGAAAAGAAGCCTGCTGCTTCACCTACTGGTTGAAAATGTAGGCTACTCACTTAACCACTTGCAGACCGGACACTTTTACCCCCTTCCTGACCAGGGCAATTTTCAGCTTTCAGCGCTATCACACTTTGAATGACAATTGCGCAGTCATGCAACACTGTACCCAAATGAATTTTTTACCATTTTTTTGAGACAGATAAAGCTTTATTTTGGTGGTATTTATTCACCGCTGGGATTTTATTTTTTTTGCTATGTAAATGAAAAAGTCCAAAAATTTTGAAAAAGAGTGTTTTTTTTTATAACATTTTGCAAATAAATATTATTTCATCATAAATCTTTGCCAAAATTTATTCCGTTATCTTTTTAGTAAAAAAAAAAAATCCAAATTAGTTTATAACCAAAAATTATAATTTTTAAACATTTTTTTTACATTTTTATTTTTATTTTTTATATTATTTAATTTATTTTTTTTATTTTTTTTACATACTGTCACCCTAGCAGTACAGTGTCACCATGGTGACACTGTACTACTTGTGGGGGGTGATGAAGATTTTTTTTTTTTTTTTACACTGATTGCTTTTACACCCCTATAGGATGTAAAAGCAATCATTTCTCTTTCTCTGTGTGTGCATTCTTGCACTCATTGAGAAGTACTGAGTGAGCTGTGATTGGTCACAGCTTGTCACATGGTACAAGGCTGTTGTGAATAGCCTTGTACCATGTGACCTCTGTGATCATTCACAGATTTCACACGTAGTAAGTAATGATGTCACAAGTGACATCTTGTTTACTACTTTGCATGTGATCACTGATTGGCCAATCAGTGATCACATGATTGGGACCTCGTACAGCGGTCCCGTCCGACGATCGGTGTCCAGAGGACACAGTGGGCACCGGATCGCGGTGCTGCGCGCTCCGAGGAAGCGCGCACAACCAGGGTGCGGGGAGGCCGTTTATAAACGGCCACCCGACCCTGCACTGCCACCGTCCGGCCGTTTATATGCAATGGCCGGTCGGGAAGTGGTTAAGGAGCAATGTCCAGGGCTGCCAATAGTTCACATAGCCATCATGCATTGCATTGCTTTATTTGGGCCAAAGAAAGTGTTTGTTCTGCACTAAACAGAAACAGTTCTGGACTGTCCTGGAAAAATGCATAAAAAACTCTGAGTCAACAGCTTATCCTGTCAGTTGTCACTGCTGGTTTTCTTGATTACTTTTCCTTAGTTTTGAACCAACAGCCATAAAAAAAAACAGTTTTACTCATTAATACTTCTCTGTCCTATTAGTTTATTGTGTATATGTTACAGTAATTTAGCAAAACTGGAAAGCAAGTTTATATGTGACATAAATGATCTCTAAGTGTTGTATACTGTAAACCTAATACCCATTTCTGAACAACAACTGGATCTCTGTAGCTTTTAAAAAAAAGCAAACATTGCAAACATTTATGGAAATGAGCTTGTACTAAATTATCTAATGAGCTTTTGGGAGTTCTTGGTATATTTAGGTTTACTTGTATTTTTATAGGACAGAAGCACTGATAAAAGCTGTAGAATAAGTTGCATCAGGTTTAGATAAATGGTAGTAATTAGGAGAATGTAAAGGCGTTAATTACATGGATGATAGATGTGCCAATACATCTTTTTAAAAAGGGTACAAGAGGCTTAAAACAGAGTAGCATACAATCACCTTGGTGCTTGTAACTGTAAAGAATGGAAAGTTGCATGAAATCAAAATGTTATATTACATACTATTTTGAGAGCTGTATGTTTGTAGTTTACCTAAAGATTTGTCTACAAAAGCTCTCGAGCTCAACTGAACATTCCCGCTCATCACCCACAGAGTTGAAAGAGACAAATTAAACCAATCTTTAGTTCAGGAATCCCCCAGCTGGGTACTTTACTTAGGAAACAATTCGTTAGCAGTTCAGGATGCAACTAATTGGAGACAAAGGCTCAGTCACTTAAGAGTACAGACACTTATTGCTCTCAGGCATCAAAACTGACTTTTTAGTTATTAAAACACATTTCAGCTATAGGTATAACACTAAAAGTTACTAAAAGCTGGAAGCTTTGCTAAAATAACTAAAGCTGACAGTACACATAAGCTGGGCTAAACTTGAGAAATCAATACACCTGGCACAGTGACTGCAGCTGATCTGGCTGCAGTACAGCCAACTTTTTTCTGCCCGGCTCCATTGATTTCTCAATCAAATGTTGTGTTGGCAGCACCACCAACAGCTCAATTTTGGCAGATTCATGGGGTGATTGTAGTCGTATTAAGTGTACTTGCGACAGAAACATTTGAGTACTGACGTGACACTTTTTTTTTTATTTGCACTAACATGTATGTTAGTGCAAATAAAAAAAGTATCATGTCAGTACTCAAATGTTTCTGTGGCAGATTCATGGGAAACAGATGAGATTCAAGCAGGGTAAGGCCAGCTTAAGAAAACCACATATGTGAGCAATAAGGTTGAGTGCACTGAATCATTTGGATTTTATATTTAGACACGTGGTATTAACTGCAGTTAAGATATTTATTTTGCTTGGCCATAGATATGTGTTTGGTGCACAATCTAATTTTATTGAACTACATTTACAGAATTCACATAATGTAATATAATTTATAAATTAGCTTCAATTAGGTTAAAGTGGGACTCTATTCAAATTTCAGTTAATTGTTAAAGTTAGATTAGAACTCTTGTCATACTTTTATTGCTGCTTGTGAGGGAAATTTGCCCTAACTTCTTGTGCGGTCTGGAACCTCTGTCAGATTCCCACCTGGTAGATTTTGCTTGTCAAAAGGGTAAAGAATATGTAAACCCAGGAATCCATGAATAAAAATTTTATATATTGCAGCTTACTAGTCCTGAGATGCGGAGGCTACAGTAAGTTTTATTTTTTAGCCTAAGAACATTTTCAGCTAATACAGAAAATACCCACTCATCTTGCCAGAATATAGTGCCCTTGTTGCTTCCTGTGAGCTGAAATGAAAGCACAATGTTATTTCCCTTCTGTACATTTATAACCTCTGGGGATGAACAAAGGCAGACATGTTTGAAGTCCAGCCTGGCTTCCTCTACAGATACAGTGGAGGAAGTAAGCATAGCCACTCAAGAACAAAAAGGTGCTATTTGCAGGATTACCAAAATGAAAATAAAGGAAAAAAGCAAAAAAAAAATACTACAACAAGCACAACTAAGGACTGATGAGCTGCAATTATATTACGTTTTTGTTTTTGGGCATGCTTGAATAGCAAACTATAATAGTCCTCCTAAAGACTGCATGGCAAAATGTTGTTAACTTTTTTATTATTGGTTGTATTTGCCAAAACACTGTCCCATTTATGGCCATCAATGCAAAAACAGCAGATAGAAAAATAGATTCAGATGTTTAAATCTTAATTTTAGAAGAAAAACAAGAGTTCATATATCTAATGTACATAGTGCTTGTAAGTACCTTTACTAGGGGATTGATAACGCCAACATTAGGGCTTGCGTTAAATACTTTGTTGAAGTTGGTCTCTCGGTTGACTAATTCCAGTTGATAGAATTTCTTGTCTTCCTGTTAAAAGAAAAATGTTATTCTGACTGTGCTTCTTTCATGCAGCTTTGCATGTCCAGATAATTGCTTTCAAACACTTCACCTATTAATATTTTACGCAGAAAGTGTTCGTTTGTAAATGCCGTTTTGTTTAATAATTGATTAAATCAGTTATAATTTATGAACTTTAGAGTATTTAAAGATCACTGAATTGTTAATGCCATTGGGTCTCAGAGGTAGCGATTTGGAAATTGTTTTGTTAAAGGAAGTAAACACTGAAATTGCTCACAATTAGTTTCTTGATAAGTTGATCCCGCTCAGTAACCATGTCCTTTAATTCGGAGATGACCTGCAGATCTTCTGGCCTGGATTCTCTGTTCTGGTATTTTTCCTCCATTTCTGTTAACCTTGAGTTTAGAAAAGCATGGTTTTACATAATTCTCCTGAATATGATCAGAAAAATAAAGATAACATTCACAGTACACACCTATTATAGAAACAAAGATTGGTGTACTGAAGGACAAAACAATATCATACATGTACTGGGAATAATTCCAAACGTAATATATATATTTGTGTCTACACAATACATGGGGTTTTGTAATTCCACAATATATGTAAATATCTGCACCAAAATTGTGAAAACTGGAGAAAAACAGGATCTTTTGCTCAAAGGTACCAAAAAGAATCTGAAATCTAAATGGCTGATATATGTAATAATTCTGTGTTTGCTTTAGTTTTTTCAAGTCAGCTTTGTATTCAAAGATTACCAATGTTAGTTGGTGGTAATTAGCACCAAATTGCATACATAGATGTAACTGCATACAAGGATGTGTAATTAGGAATACTGTACTCTGGGTACATGGTTTTTAAGAACATGTCCCATTCACATTTTCAGTCCTATTACATATTTTGACCATGTTACAACAGTACTCATCATAGTAATAATGTAAACACCATGGACTACATTTAAAGTCTTTATTGTGATTATGGGAAAAATGATAAAGAGGATTATGGCAACCAATGATAAAGAGGATTATGGCAAAAATGATAAAGAGGATTATGGCAAAAAGTAAAATCCTGTTCCTGACCACTGATAAGAGAATACAAGATAGGCCCTCTGTGTTGGATGGCAGTGTACAGTAGCCTCTAGGCTGAAGAGAAAAGGAGTTCTTAGGGCGCATCTGCCATGGAGACCAATGGAGGGAAACAATAGAAATATGCACACTAGAGCAGCACTTCCAGGAGTAGAAGCAGACTCTGGGCAGGACAGAAGAAAACAAGAAGGCACTCATAAATGCACTACATCCACATGTTTATTAGTGAAAATGGTTAAAACCACTTACAAAGGATGATAAGGCTCAGGCATAAGAAAATGTCAATGCAGGGTTCCTGTCACTGTGTCCTGGAGCTCACTGTGCCGTCCAACAGCAGGGGGAGCTCAGATGCAATTCCAAGATGGCCACCGCTCTTCCTGGGCCACCATGGAATGCAAGACCAGTCTTGAAGGAGCGACTGCGTATGCTCCGAAATGCATCACTGCACACCATTGACGTACGTTCCACAGTGGCCCAGGAAGAGCGGTGGCCATCTTGGAACTGCACCTGTGCTCCCCCTGCTGCTGCTGGACGGCACAGTGAGCTCCAGGACACAGTAATAGGAGCCCTGCATTGACATTTTCATATGCCTGAGCCTTGTCATCCCTTGTAAGTGGTTTTAACCAATTTCACCAATAAACATGTGGATGTACTGCACTTACCTTCACCTTCTTGTTCTCTTTTGACTAGCCTGTAGATTGCAGGTGACTGATAAAGCAGTGAAGTAGTAGTAGTGTAAAGGACTCAGGACTCAGAAGCATAGAAGACAAATAACTGATGGGTCAATAGTGGAGCAACTGACAAGCTGGATAATAGTAGTCGAGCAATAGCACACAACTGGTTACAGAAAATGCCACAGGAGCCCAAGAAAGGTTTTAAGACTGTGCTAGCTTGAATAGAAGATGCACCAATGCGCCACACAAAAAATTAATCATCCAGATGCAGGTTTATACCAAAATGAGATTTTAAGAGTTTAGAGGATCAGAGCATGCCCCTTTCATCAGAGCTACAAAACACAAGAAAAAAAAAAAATAGTCTCATGTTGTTACAGAAAATATACTGTATAAAGTGCTTATACTAATAAATCAGGTAGTAACTCAAACATAATACAATTAAGAATATATATTTAAAAAAAAAATAATAATACAGATTATGTTTTAACATAATCAAATTTACATCAATTACATATGCAACTGGATAATGGGAATTGGTAAAACGAGGTGTGATCATGGGTAGCAGTAGAAAAGTAAACAGTAAGGAAAAAAAAGACAAAGAACACAACATAAATATACTGTACTCCATTTTCCTTATGTGTATTAATAGAAGTATAGTGTAAAATGAATGGACATGCTAAAAAAGATTGCCAAGAATACCAATAAAATAATATAAATATCATGGTGTGATTGTAAAAAAATAATTAAAAGTGTTAACACAATGTGAAAAGGGGTGCAACTTTAAAATATGAATATGTCAGGACATGGATCACCGGCTGGAGGCACTGTGGTTCCCAAAGTGGAATGGTATAGTTCCAGTGGCTACTAGTGGGTGTCTGTCAGTAGCCAGCTGACCATAGTAATCAGTCTCACCCGAGGCTAGCAGCTGGGAATGTATATAACTATTTCCCTACCTTCCTTCACTCGCTCAATGTTATCTGAGGTTCCCGTGCAGGCTGCAGTTTCCAAAGAAATGCAGGGACTTCTTCCCTGCGTGTCCCAGGGCATGGGAGTCCATTCAAATAAATGGGCTCTCATGCCCGTGCAAAACGCGGCCTGCAGGAACGCACATATGTGAACCAGGGCTTAATATTTTGAAATGATCAAACAGCACATTTGTTAATCCGAAGCTTTTAATGACTTCTAAAATTTAGATAGCTGTCACTATCAACTTTTTAAAAAAAGTTCTTGGTGACTCCTTGTTATATTGTCTATTATCTCTTCCACAGTTACTTGCAAGTACTCAATGGTAATTTGATATTTGTGACTTGTAAAATGCAGTCTCAGTGTGTTGTTATTTTTTAAGTAAATGATAAAAATGTATATTGGATTTTAATCATAATGAACACCTCTTCATAATTTTTGATGTGATTATGTGTGAAGGCCTTCTCTATGAAGTCTACAGATTCTCTGGAGAAACGTTCCATAGTGTCTGCATCTAATATTTTGTAGTATACTGTATCTTATCTTCATAAGAGTATAGAAAATGTGGGGCTCGCCCAGCCCAGTACATGTGAGTGTAGGTAATGACCTCAGCCAGCACTGCTCTATGACTAAGCTCCGGAGGGTGGAGTGAAATATGTCAGGGGGCATGGCCAGTGGAGTAGTGCTGGCTGAGGCCATTACCTACACTCACATATACTGGGCTGGGTGAGCGGTGTCCCCACATTTTCTATACACATGTTGGCACTTGGATGAGTGAAAGGATGCCAGCACCCTGGCTCCTAAGTTCCAGCAGGTGGCACGTCACACCTCAGGCTTGGAGTGGCAATATAAGGCCTATGATATCATATTTTCTTGGCTTCCTGAATACAGTCTTTTCTATTTTGAATAACCATGCCTCCATCCTTATTGCCATTTTAATGATAATGTTTGTATTCTCTTTTAACTCTTTGGGGCCAATTCTTTTACCTTTGGTCAGGTTTGATAGTATAGAATAGGTTAAAATCTGTCTGGACTAAGGTTTGAAAAGTCCTGATAAAATTCCCCTTATATTGAATAGGGTTGAATGTGGAGCATGGTCTGAAGTCTTTTTCTGTACATCCTCAAGAGTTGAAATAGAATCATCCAACATTATTCGAACTGCATTAGATGCATCTGGAATATTTTTCACTTTCAATAAATTTTTATTGAAACATTACAGGATATAGATCAAACCACAGATAAATATATTGATATGATCAATGAGTTATTAATCAGTGGGAATGTATTTCAATGTTACACATTGTTTGCATGTTTTTATTGTGTTTTTATAACCCTGTTGAAGGGGCCACTCTCTGACCCCCAAAATGCATTGGCTTTGTAATAAAGTCTTTTATCTCATTTTGGAAAAAAAGTTTAACTGGATGAATAATCTTTGCTCTAGAGCTTCAGTCTCAGATGAAGTTGATGAATGGACAGGCTTAACAAAGACCCCTGTGCCACAGAGTGGTGGATAGAACACAAGTCCAGTAATTAAAGGGTACGGAGTTGAAAACCAGAAAAAATAAAGCTAGGAATAGTGCAAAACATTAAACCCCATCTCATATGCCTAAAAAGAAATTCCAACCTATCTACTATTTGTTGATGCTGAAAAGGCAATCAACAGGGTCAGCTGGCAATTTCTCCAACACTCTCTAACCAACCATTGGCTCCCACTGCTGTCAATTACAGCCAGTGAACCAATGAGAAGAGAGAGGTGTCGGTGCTGAGCTGTGGCTCCATATGTGAATGGACTCATGGAGCAGCGGGTGTTTTTATTTACTACTGACTGTTTTTGGTGAATGAGTAGGGGAACTATGTACCCCATTCTTATTCATATGGGAGGGCCAGGATCTGGGGGATCCCTTTTTAAGATTCTGATAAGTCACCCCCACACTCCATAACCACCGGACTAGTGTTCTGGCAAAGAAGCCTTTGTCCTCATCAACATGGAGACAAGGTGCTTTACCAGGGGCAACCAGGTGACAAGTATTAGAAAATCTGTCCACTATGAAAAGAATGGTGACATTACCTTTCAAAGTAAGTAAAAAATGATGAAATGTACTGAAATGCGGGAATTATAAGCAGGTTGATATCAATAACAGCTAAAGTATTCAAAAAGTAATTTATCTTAACAGTGGGCATATAATGTAGGGCCCTTAACAACATTTTTTGAATCTAGACATTTTTGGCCATTGAATGTTCTATTCAATGAACTGCTTGCTGTGTACAGCCCATTTCAGTAGTTCAGAATATAATGTAGAGGAAACCAAAATGGTGTCTCAACAGTAAGGACTACAGTATTGTATTTTCAATTTTCCATATGCCAGATGAAGAAGTCCTTCAGGATTATACTTCCACTTTTTTGACAAACTTTTTAACAGATAGTAATATATTCAGTTTTTCTCACCTACCTCAACATAAAACATTGAAGAAATAGAGGAGAAATTACTGTATTTATCACTCCATAAGATGCACTTTTTTCCCCCAAAAAAAGGGGGGAAATGTCAGTGCGTCTTATGGAGTGAATATGGAGCGGCCGGTCCGGTATTTCCGCCACCGCCACCGTGTCAGAATACAGGGCCGGCCGCTCAGCTCTTCTCTGCAGCAGGACCTTACCTGTTCCTCGGTCCAGCGCTGTACGGTCTTCCCGCGCCGGCATCTTTAGTGTGGGCATAAGGCTGTGACAGCCGGGTGCCCACTGCACATGCGTGAGAAGCGCTGCGCTTTGTGAATGGTCCGCTGGACACATGACAGGTCCCAGAAGACGTTGGGCCATTCACAAAGCGCAGCACTTCTCGTGCATGTGCAGTGGGCACCCGGCTGTCACAGCTGGGTGCCCACACTAAAGGGAGGACAACTTCGTGGAAGCAGGAGCGGGTACCAGTCAAATTCAGATACCCGCTCCCCCCCCTCCCTCCACAAAGGTCCGCAGTCTCTTGGTCATCCCCTGTACTGTCTGCAGTCTCTTGGTCATCCCCTGTACTGTCTGCAGTCTCTTGGTCATCCCCTGTACTGTCTGCAGTCTCTGGTCATCCCCTGTACTGTCTGCAGTCTCTTGGTAATCCCCTGTAGTGTCTGCAGTCTCTTGGTCATCCCCTGTACTGTCTGCAGTCTCTTGGTGATCCCCTGTACTGTCTGCAGTCTCTTGGTCATCCCCTGTACTGTCTGCAGTCTCTGGTCATCCCCTGTACTGTCTGCAGTCTCTTGGTAATCCCCTGTAGTGTCCGCAGTCTCTGGTCATCTCCTGTACTGTGTCTGCAATCTCTGGTCATCCCCTGTACTGTCTGCAGTCTCTGGTCATCCTCTGTACTGTCTGCAGTCTATGGTCATCTGTACTATGTCCCCATGCTCTGGTCATCTCCTGTACTGTGTCTGCAATCTCTGGTCATCCCCTGTACTATGTCCGCAGTCTCTGGTCATCTCCTGTACTGTGTCTGCAGTCTCTGGTCATCTCCTGTACTATGTCCGCAGTCTCTGGTCATCTCCTGTACTATGTCCGCAGTCTCTGGTCATCTCCTATACTATGTCCGCAGTCTCTGGTCATCTCCTGTAATGTGTCCGCAGTCTCTGGTCATCTCCTGTACTGTGTTCGCAGTCTCTGCTCATCTCCTGTACTATATCTGCAGTCTCTGGTCATCTCCTGTACTGTGTGTGCAGTCTCTGGTCATTTCCTGTACTATGTGTGCAGTCTCTGGTCATTTCCTGTACTGTGTCTGCAGTCCATTGATTCGGAATATTTTTTTTTCTTGTTTTTCTCCTCTAAAACCTATGTGCGTCTTATGGTCAGGTGCGTCTTATGGAGGGAAAAAGACGGTAGTTAAGTATCCAGGAGATCACTTTGAGATAGATAAAAAGTGTGGTACAATGCCCTGTTTGCAAAAGACATCACCTAAGACAGTGATAGTAAAATACGCCAATGATATGGGTTTAGCATAATTGTCAATTTTCTTCAGGTAGTCAGCGAAAGCTCCCCTATCTGTCCACTCTCTATTTTAAACCTCCTAGCTCAGCAGCAAACAGACATTGCTGGAAGCTTTCTATGCTTCAACTTTATTCCCCTGCCTTTTGGGAAATGATATCATCACATAAACTATAAGTAGTATATTTAAAGCCTACTTTGCAGGGCAAGTGGGTATAAGTGCAGCTGGATGGATGTGTTTTTATTTATACTGCAGTACAGAGACTCGTGCAGCAAAACCTCATTAGATACACAGTGAATTAGCATCACAAATTATGCTAAACCTGTGTTCCTCAATCCAGTCCTCATGGCCCACAAACAAGTCATGGTCCCATCTCTTTATAAAATCACTAGTAAAATGTTCAGATTGCTTCTTTATACTGTAATTTGCTGTATCACAAATGTACAAATATGCAAGTGATTCAATCTGTTATTCATTACATTGACAATGGATGCATATTAACATCCAGCCCATTTGTTTTTGGATTAGAGTTCCACCCTATATTAAAAGATGTTTGGGCTGAAAAACACATCACTATGATCACCAACATGCTTACTGGGTGGCTCAGCCTAGTATTCTATATCAAACCAAGTAATTTGGGGCACTTTTCAGAACTGCAGCTTACCCAAAACCCTGGGGTTGATTTACAAAAAGCAAATATGCTGTTCACTTTGCAAGGGAATTTTCAGTTTGCAAAGAATTTTCCTTTTGGTGAATATGGTGAAAATTCAGTTTACAAAGAATATTCAATCACATGCAAAGAAAATGAAAAAAAAAACAAAAAACAGTATTTTTGCTTGCTGTGATCGCATGATGGAATTCAGAAGAACTTAACTGCATTTACAAAGTTAAGGGGAAATTCCCTTACAAAGTGAACAGTCTACCTTTAGTATATCAACCTCTCTGTGTCTGAACACAACCTTGGAAGTCTCTGATGACTTGCTTAACCACCTTCCGCCCGCCCTATAGTACAATGACGGGCGCAAGGTGTTTTTTTTCGGTCTGATAGGGACGTCATATAACGTCCTACCATTCTCACTGTGCATGTGTGGCTCAGGGAGCATGCAGCGCAGGGATCGCCCGTGCGCTGTGTCCCATGTAAACACGGAAATGCCAGTTATCGGCATTTCTCTCCTCTCGAGCTGTCACGCTGACAGCTCGAGAGGAGAAGAGAGCCAGTAATCGGCTTTCCGCGGAAGGGACATGTACACTGATCATCAGGGCACTGATGATCAGTGTGCCCTGATGATCAGTGTGGCCCCAGAAGTGCCACCTGTCAGTGCTCATCAGTGCCGCGTGGCAGTGCCCATCAGTGCCACATCAATGCCACATATCAGTGCATACCAGTGCCATATCAATGCCACATATCAGTGCCCATCTGAGCTGCCTTTCAATGTCACCCATCAGTGCCAGTCAGTGCCACCTATTAATGCCAATCAGTGCCACCTATCAGTGCTGCCAATCAGTGCCACCTATCAGTGTCAGTCAGTGCCGCCTTTCAGTGCCGCCTATCAGTGCCAGTCAGTGCCACCTATCAGTGCCAGTCAGTGCCGCCTATCAGTGCCAGTCAGTGCCGCCTATCAGTGCCAGTCAGTGCCGCCTATCAGTGCCAGTCAGTGCCGCCTATCAGTGTCATGTATCAGTGTCATGTATCAGTGCTGCCTTTCAGTGTCCATCAGTGATGCCTGTCAATACCCATCAATGCAACCTACCAGTGCCTCCTCATCAGTGCCCATCAGTGCCACCTATCAGTGTCCATCAGTGCGGCCTATCAGTGCCCATCACTGCAGCCTCATTAGCGCACATCAGTGAAGGAGAAAAATTACTTATTTACAAAATTGTATAACAAAAACTAAGAAAAAACTTTTTTTTTTTCAAAATTTTCAGTGGTTTTTTGGTTTGTTAAGAAACCCCAGAGGTGATTAAATAAATACCACCAAAAGAAAGCTCTATCTGTCTCAAAAAAATGATAAAAATTTCATATGGGTACAGTGTTGCATGACTGAGCAATTGTCATTCAAAGTGTGACAGCGCTGAAAGCTGGAAATTGGCCTGGGCAGGAAGGGGGTATAAGTGCTCTGTAGGCTAGTGGTTAAGAAACATAGTGCATAGCTAGCATGTGAATAAGGAGTATGTTTTTCATATCAAAAGTATAATTCTGCACTGAACTCAGACCTTGATCTTTCATAGTAAAATATAATTAGCAACATGGTCTACGTGACGTAAAAACTTTACACAAGTCATAGAGGAATTCAGTGAGTTCCAGCTATCAGGTTTTCTAAAGTGTGCAGCTTTCCTCCTATGGCAGCAAATTATTTGTTCTCTAAGTATAAATAGGATGGCATTACATTAAGCCTGGGTTCACATATATGTGGTGCAGTACATTATTGTGATTCGCACAGGAACTACACCGCATTCAGGGAATCAGGCTGTTGTTAACTTAACATACACACCCGCAGCGGTTTGCATGAACGGGGTGCGATTCTGATGCTGTGCGGAATTCACACAGAAAACACTGCGAATTCTGGACCGCATCAGTATGAACCCAGGCTAGAGTTAAACTTATCTTGATAATTAAAAAAGACTAAGGTGAGAATCACTCTGCCTTGAAATATCTCTCTCTACTACGTGAAGCCTTATTTTTCAGCATGGTTGCACTTGTATGCAGAGATGCGAAAACAAGCCTTTGGCCAAGATGTTATATCACTGGCATATGCCCTCAAGCACCAGCTGACTGACTATGGAGCTGTAAAATTATGTATACTGTGTAACATTTAAGTCTCTTGTATTTCAACAGTTAGTCCTGGTTCACACCACTGCAACGGTGTGACAGTTTCAAGTCACATGACAAGTCGCACCCTATTTTCTGGAATGGAACCATTCAATTCGGTGTGACTTTGACTTTGCGGTGCCGCACTGATTTGAAAAAATGGTTCCTGCACTATTTTTTGCAATTTAAGGTGTGACTTGCATAGACATGTATGCATGAAGTCACACACATGTCAGCCAAGTCACACCTGGAGTCGCACTGACATGTGGATTTGAAATGGTGTAACTTCAAGTGAAGTCGCACAATTTCAGAGCTGGATTCAGTGTGAACTGACAGTTAGGGCTCTATGTATAAAGCCGTGGTATGGCTCCACCACAGTCATACTGCTGCTTAAAGGATAAGTTCACCTTTTGTAACATGTTACATTGCACACCCCATATTCAGGGTGTAACATGTAATATGTTATGATTGGACCGGCCTCCGCACCCCCCCCGCCCCGATCGCCATTGTGACAACTAGCGAGGGATCTTCTCATAATTTAAAAAATTTGCGCCCATGCGGTGCTCCGCCTACATAAACGCATCACTCATTCACAGTATTCTGTGAATGGGAAAACTACAAGTTCCAACAGCCTTTGTGGCTGTCGACTTGTAGTTTTCAATGAACTATCACGGAGCTCCACAGCACCATGGTAGTTCTTTGAACCTTCTTGTCAGCAAGTAACAGCTTGCCCGTATAGGATGTATGAGCAAGCAGATATACTGATAGGTCAGGGGGAGACCTGCATGGCAACAGCGATCTACTGATTGCTAGTGCAATGCTTTAGAGGCTTCAGAAACAAAAAAATAATAAATGCACATTTTTTTACCTGCAGAAAAATGTGCATTTATTTATTTTTTTTTAAATCCTTATCCTTTAACCACTTGCCCTCCTGAGGATTTACCCCCTTCCTGACCAGGCCTCTTTTTGCTACTCGGCGCTGCACTAATTCAACTGATAATTGCACGGTCATGCAATGCTGCACCCATACTAAATTTACGTCCTTTTTTTCACACAAATAGAGCTTTCTTTCGGTGGTATTTGATCATCTGTGCGCTTTTTATTTTTCACGCTATAAACAAAAAAAGGCCAAAAATTTTGAAGAAAAACAATATTTTTTACTTTCAGCTATAAAAAATATATAGTAAACTCAAAGTTGGTTATAAATTTAGGCCAAAATGTATTCTGCTCCATGTTTTTGGTAAAAAAAATCCCAATAAGTGTATATTGATTGCTTTGTGTGGAAGTTATAGCATCTACAAACTATGGTATAAATACTGCAATTTACGCCATTTTTCTGCTATACAGCGCTGCGCTAGTTTAATGGACAATTGTGCGGGTCATGCAATACGGTACATAAATGAAATTTACATCCTTTTTTTCCCCACAAATTGAGCTTTCTTTCGGTGGTATTTGATCGCCTGTGCGGTTTTTATTTTTTGCTCTAAAAAAAAAGGCTGACTATTTTGAGGACAAAAAAACAATATTTTGGACTTTTTGCTATAAAACATGTCCAGTAAAAAAAAAATGCAAAAATCAAATTTAGTCATAAATTTCTGCCAAAATGCATTCTGCGACATATCTTTGCTAAAAAAAAAAACCAATACGTGTAAATTAATTGGTTTACGTAAAAGTTATAGTGTTTACAAATGGCGGGAAAGATACTGGGATTTTTAGTTTTTTTTTTTATACTAATAATGGCGGCGATCAGCGAATTATGGCAGCGATCAGTGACTTATGGCGGGACTGCGGCGGACATTCTGACATTGGGGGGTACTGACTTGGGGTCACTGACATCCCCAAAAACACTAATACAGTGATCAGTGCAAAAAAAAAAACACTGACACTGTACTAATAACACTGGGGAGGAAGGGGTTAACTTTATTTTGCAGGGAAGGGTTATCTGTGTGAGGGGAGTGTTTTACTAGGGGGCGGGGGTGTGTGCTGCACGGGACACCGCTGATTGAGAGAGAGAAAACTCTTCTTTCTCGATCAGCTTGTCCTCGAGCTGTCAGGGAAGTGACAGACAGCACAGCTACTGCAGCTGTGCTGTCTGTCACTGTTTGCCGCCGATTGCCGGGAAACAGCCGGTAAGGACCGGCTGTGACCCGGCGACTGACATCCACGGCGGTGATCGGCGGGACAGATAGGGCGGTGGGGCGCCTCGCGCGCGCCCCCTATCTGTTTACAAAACACACGTTTTAAAATGTGGTTTTGCCTGCCCGTGCCGCCCTGCCCCGTATTTCTACAGTGGCAAGGCGGCAAGTGGTTAAAACAAAACAAAAAAGCACTGCACATTTATAAAGCACAGAGGTGTTTCTAACAAATGTGCATTGCACTCTGCTTGCTTTGGGACTACAGCAGAAATTCAGAAGGGAGTAATACTGTTTCAATCTCATCAGCTTCAAACACAGGATTTACCAGTGCGATATTACTAGAGATGGAACTCCAGGTCCTCAAAGACAGGCTTAAAGTGTTACTAAACCCAGGACCCTGTATTCACTATATCTGACCTCTCACAGTACACAGAACATGGAAATGCAATTATTTTAGTAAATATAAACAGCTAAATACCTTTTCTCATCAGCAGTATATAGCAATCTTTTGACTTCTACCAGTGTCCAGCCAAGCATGTTAAAGCTTGTAGGAGGAGTTTTCATTTTCCTTTAGGAGGATGCAGGACCCCGACCTATGTCTGGACAGTGCTGATTGGCCCTGTGCTGATCACATGCACTCTCCCCCCCAAAAAAAATCTTTCTAGTAAAAAAACCAAACTGAGCATGTGCAGAGTGATTCCACATGATATGTCTTATCAGGAGAAAAGAGGGGACACTGGATGAAGGGGAAGATCAGAGAAGTCAGGATCAAACATCCTTTTTCAAACTGCAGAGGAATAACCCCTTAGGTTCCACAGTGCATATATGCATGCTTTACTCATATACAGACTGATTGTACTGTTGTGGGTTTAGTAACACTTTAATACTCAGTTAATGAATACATATAACTGGTTCGCCGTCTGCACACACTCACTCCGTGTTGCATAAATATGAAAGATGTGAAAGGGATGGGTAAAAGATGGCTTTAGCTCCAGTAGAGAAAGCCTCAACACATTGCGACCTTTTTGGGGCTTAATCATAGAGGCAATCTGACACAAGGACCGCTGGTAATTATCACTGTAGCATCATAAGTCATAAATGAACAGAATCTGGACAGATAGGTTATGAGCACAGCTCTCACCTATTGCTCACAGGTCAGGGTCCATTGAAAGAGATTTTGTAAACAAAATAAATTAAATCAAACCAAGTCCAAATAAATCAAAAAGTCCTAGATGTATGACCAGCACACTAGATCCAACAAAACACAATGATTTGATTTATTGGGACTTTTTGTTTGACTTCATATATTTTCTTTACATTTATCTCTTTCAATGGTTTATGAGATTTTGTTGTAGGGACTTTCCCATGACAGGTCATTTGGTTCTACATTGGCACAATGTTTATAATTCCATTAAGAAGCAGTTTGCTTTGGGGTCTTGAGGTAGTGGTAAAGTGCCATGTTGATAGTTTATACAGTACACTATGGTTCTATTGCCTTAGTATACTATTGCAAGGCCTGAAGATTTGACCTCTGAGCAGCCGTAAGGCTGGGACTTTTTTTTATTTGTTTGGACTTGTTTTGACTTCACTTATTTTCTTTAGATGCATCTATGTCAATGGAGCCTGACCTGTGGGAAGTAGGTGGAGCTGCTGTGCTCACAACCGATCTGTCCAGGTTCTGTCCATTTATGGCTTTTGATGCTATATAATCATCAGTGGTCTTTGCTGCAGATTGCCTCTACGATTAGGCCCAAAAAGGGTAAACTGCGTCTGAGGCATTCTCTACAGGTGGAGAACGGGAGCTGAAACCATCTTTTACCCATCTCATTCACATTTATGGAACTGGAAGTCGGTGTCTGTGTGCAGACGGCCACCATTTTGTTGAAGTCTACTAGAGCTTGACAAACCAATCCTGTTAGCCTTGCACCAGTCTATTCAGATGCTGATCCGACTGACACAGGTTTGGGGGGCATTCAAGTGGTACTATTTTCATTGTTTAGGGCTATAAATGTTTACTGTTTTACCTAAAAAAGGATTTATAATTCTGTTTAACTACTCTTTGATTTATTTTTTGAAACTTAAGCACTTCTGGGATTTCCTCCCTGCTAACTAAACAGAGGTAATAAGTCTAATTCTCTGTGCAGTGAACAAGCTGTAGGGGCAGAGGTGATTGCTAAACTTGCCTAACTGTGCAGTTTGGCAGATGTGTGCTCAAAACAAGGTTAACTGTACAAAATTACATATCCTTTAGTAGGTAAAACTGTTCACATAGAATATATATTTGAAAGATATATTTAGCTGTTTGCCTTAAAGTGGAGCTACACTGTATCTGAGCATCACAAAGCAAAAGTGCTATTTAATTCATATTTAATATTCAAAGCAAATTCATCCATCCATCCATGCCTCCATACTTTATTTGGTGGGAAATCACTTTGAAGAACAACCGCCTAGCATTTCTGACAGTGGCCATTTTGAGTAAGGGCAGATGATTCATGTAGCATTTACTTCCTGGAATCCATCTGCCCTTAGCTCAAGCATGCAGGCAGGAGGGTGCACTTAGCTAAGAAAACCCCTCCTCCCCTCCTGAAGACTCCTAGAATGTATGACATCATTTGTCTAGGCATGGAAATTAGAAAGTAACTAAAGAAATGTAAAAAAAACTAAACTATTTAAAACAAGCAAATATACTATCCCTTCCTGTCTGTTTACTAATTCTGGCAGCATAAGGCTTCAAAATAGTCAATGTTAATTGAGAAAGTGAAGTTTCAATTTAAGCTTTAGCTGTTTGACTTTAAAGCCCAAGCCCTTTAGTAATACAGAGGCCACAATGCTAGTGTTTAACCTCAGCTGCAACACATTTTAATATTCTCCAGGGTTTTGTGGTGCTTACCAGGATGTTTGATGTTGTTGGTGGAAAACCAACATTGAGCGAGATTTTTTCAACAGACTTCTTGAAATACATAAGTTAGTGGGTGATTACATTTATCACTATCTACCCAGAATGGAAACATTTGTTGTGACTCCATTGCATATATTTATGAGTCTTTAGATAAGGAAAACACAAAAACATAATTATTAAGCAGAGACATATTACTGGCTTGGAAAAGCTTCCTGACAAGGAGTAAGTTATTTTAGCCTTCTAGATATTTAACAAACACACTACTAGTGCTCAAGTGCTAAACCATTGTTGTGGATGGTCTGTGTCTGCGACAATCCCAGATCCTTTGCATAAACTGTGCATGACAAAATCAGTTCTTTTGTTCTCCCTGGGTGCCAGCACGGTTGGAGTAGAGGAGTCCAGAATTCCTGGCTACTATCAGACAAGCTAGGTGATGTACTTCCAGTGATTGGGTCAGGACAGAACAGGGCCTGGTGTGCTTGGGCCAGGACAGAATGCAGCCTGGTACACTGGCAGGTGCATGGGCAACCCTTGGTGCTGTCGATCACTGATGCCAGGTGAGCAGTGCAAGCAGGTATGAGATGAAGTCATAGGTGGACCTTGATCCTTCCCAGAGGTTTAGAGCAGACTTCCTCTAGTCATTAGTGCTACTCCATGAAGACTGATTCCGCCGTGTCAGTTGCTACAAATTTGGCAGATGTGAGCACCGAGGGTAGGTAGGTTGGAATTCTGTTATGGCTTTCCTCTCTACTATACCCATATTGTGGAGAGGCACAGTGTGGAGTACCCTTCGGTCACCCAAACTGCTAGTTTTGACACTGCTGAGCGGGAGAGGCAGACGCTGGACACTGCTGAGCGGGAGAGGCAGGCGCTGGAACTGCTGAGCGGGAGAGGCAGGCGCTGGGCATTGCTGAACTGTGGGGTGATTAGCGGCTAAAGAGGAGCACAGGCACGTGGAGCAGAGAGGCTGCTGGGGACACAAATGGAGGCCTGTGTGAGAGGTGTGTAAGCAGACAGAGGCCAGGCTGCATGAGTGAGGACACTGTGCAACTATGCAGTTACCCTATAGCAGCCATGCATTCTTCTAATTTTTTACTAAGGAAAAGGAGGGGTATAGTAGTCAAGACTGCATCATTAGTAACACATCACAGATTGTACCTTTGTGGCTTACAAAAGCCGGTGTCTGAAAAAGACTGGAAAAGCTTAACACAAATAAATCACCAGGACCAGATTGCTTACACCCGAGAGTTCTCAAAGAATTTTTATGCACAGCATACTAACAGGAATGGTACCAGTTGATTGGCAAAGGGCCAACGTGGTACCAATATTTAAAAAAGGGAAGAGATACATTCCTGGAAACTTCAGGCCAGTCTAACATCGACTGTATATAAACTATTGGAGAGGATGATAAGGTACTATATCCAATATTCTGCTGATGAAAACAGTATCATTAGTAGTAGACAGCATGGCTTTATGAAAAGGTCATTCTTGCCAAACCAACCTGTTAACACTCTATGAGGAAGTGAGCTGCCATCTAGAGAAAGAAAGGCCTGTGGATGTGATGTACCTGGATTTTGCAAAAGCATTTGATACAGTGCCCCATAAGTGCTTAATTTACAAACTGAGGTCTGTAGGCATGGACCAGAGTGTTTGTATATGGATAGAAAACTGGTTACAGGGGCGTTTCCAAAGGGTGGTGAATAACAGCGTGTATTTGGATTGGTCTTGAGTGGTAAGTGGGGTGCCCCAAGGCTCTGTCCTGGAACCAATTCTTTTTACTTTTTTCATAAATGATATAGAGGTTGGTATAAATAGCTCAATCTCAGTGTTTGCTGATGATACAAAGCTAAGTAGGGCAATACCTTAACAGCAGGATATAGAAACTTTACAAGAAAACCTCAATAAAATAATGGGATGGGCAAATACATAGCAAATGAGGTTTAAGGTTTAAAAATGTAAAGTAATACACTTGAGGGCTAAAAATCCAGAATAGAAAAGGATATGGGGGTCCTAGTAGATGACAGGCTCAGCAATGGCATGCAATGCCAAGCTGCAGCAAACAAAGCCAGAAGAATAAAGAAGATAAAACTATAATCCTGACACTTTATAAAACTTTGGTCTGGCCACATCTGGAGTATGCCATCCAGTTCTGGTCACCAGTCCTCAGGAAGGATGTGCTTAAGCTGGAGAGAGTCCAGAGAAGGGCAACAAAGTATAAAAGGGGACTGGACGATTTCCAGGAACGATTCCAAACATTAAACTTATGCTCCCTGTAGAAGAGATGCTTGTGAGGAGATATGATAGCGATAGTGATATACAAATACCTCAGCGGTGATTCTAACATAAGGAATAAACTATTCAGTCTCAGGGAGTACAAGACAACACGGGGCCACTTAATGAAATTGGAGGAGAAGCTGTTTGACCTGAAACTGCGTAGGGTTTTTATTTACTGTCAGAATGGTAAGGATGTGGAACTCCCTACCACAATTGATGGTGTCAGTGGGAAGTAATGATAGATTCAAAGAGCTCTAAGATGGGCATCTTAGCAAACACAATATACAGGGATATGGGATGTGATTTTTGACATGAACACACACATACCCACACAGGTTGAACTGGATGGACTGATGACTTTATTCAACCTTACCAACTATGTAACTATGTAAAATAGCAAATGAAGATACTCACATTTACTGTATGTCTCTTTATAGTCCTGTGTATGTTATGATTGATTTTTCATTTGAAAATACTTGGTGCTCTCAGTCATGGTTCTTTAATATTTTGTAAATTTTTTAAATTATGCGCAGCAATTATACACTTAATATACATCTCTGTCTATTAGCTTGAGAACAGTAATCATTTTGATGTGAACAACTTGAATCAAAATATGTAAAATCATAATCATAACCGACATAAAATTGTCAATGCATGCTTCTATTAGATTATTATGATAAAAGTTTAAGAAGGTTAGTAACAAAATTGATTGTAGGATGAAAACAGTTAGTTTTTTAGGAGTGCCTTCTAAAAATAAATTTTGTTCTATTGTAAACTTACGAAACATTTAATGCAGAATTTTTTTCCATGAGCATAGCTTGTGCCTTTGCAAATTCTGCCATAATTGCTTGCTTCTCCCTGATATGGGCGGCTGTTAAGTCATTCACATCCTCTTCGTGTTTCTTGTTTAAATCTTGCTCATGTACCCTTTTTGTTAAGAAATGAAATATATTTGCTTACACATGATACAAATCTATCACAGCTGTACCTGATCATATAAATATTTATTAAACCGATACACAGAAGAATCACTTGGATAAAACCTGTGTTTAGGAAAGATGCAATCAAGTATTATTCAATTGGTCATAGGGGTTTTATGAGTTGTATGCATACTAAATGTTTAAATTGTCCTAGTGAGGCATGGTGTCCTGTCCTGCAGACTGCAAGAAGTGCTGAGGGCTACAGAACAGGACATCACCCTTTACAAGAGCTATTTAAATACTGTTCTTTAATGAGACAGCTACTCAGGCCTGTCACTGGGTGAGAGATTATGTTGTATGATCCAATCACTTTCAATGTGTTAAGATGCAGTAGACATTAAAATGCCTACCAACGATACAGATTTTAGCAGGATTTTCCTCATTTTTACATTCCAGTAGATTGGGTATTTCAATGTGAACTTTAGCTGTCTAATCATGGTCACATTAGGTACTTGTGCAGGTCAGGGATAATGATTTTTTTCTTAATCTGAATATATGATGAAATTAATAATATTAATGCATTGTGATCTAATGCAGCTTCTATCCTTCATGGAGCACTGTGCGGGTCTAAATGTCCAAGTAGAAAATGTTTAGTAATACAAACACTGCACACTCATATGACTTTACTGAGCTGGACAGATATTCCAGCTTGAATAAGGTCAATGGCCTTAGACGGCACTTGGCATTAATACAATTTAGGTAACAAAGACATTTTGTAGGAATGCTCATAGGGACATCCTGCTGGGTGAAAAATAAATATCAGCTTGTAAATATATCAGATTTTGCCTTGGTGGAGAAACATTTTAATATACAAATTTTACTTTACCTAATTTGTTGATTAGCCTCGCTGCGTATTCTAAGGATCTCTTTTCCCTTAAACTCCAGTTCCTTAGTCAAAGTGTTTATGCTTTCATGTAGTATCATCAGTTCCTTATTGAGATTAGCCACATGCTGTTCTTGATGTCTGAGCTGCTTTTCAAGCTCTGCTATTCGCCCTAAAAGCTCAGACTCCTAAAATATAAAAATATGAAAATCAGTTAATTGATTCTTTTATGTGCCTTAGTACCATTGTATTTTGCATCATTTCATAGCACTAAAATCCAAAAAATCTGCTTTATCGAGCTGAAAACAGAAAATGATAAATACACAGCACTGCTGGACGCTGATGTTAAGAGTTAGCGTTAATCATAATGTACCAATAAAATACAAGTGGGATTATATACACTAGTAACTAAAACACACATACACAGTATGTTTCAGGAGCTTATTGGAAATTATTTGTATGCGAAATAAATGAACCCTTTTCATTCAACAGCAAACTTCTCATTCTAAGTTATGCTAAATATCCCAGATTCCAGAATTATGCATGTTATGCCAGGCTCTAGGGTATAAAATTCATTAACAGCATAAAGTTCCTCCCAGTGCCAATCGAGGGGCATTATTCCTCTCACTGAACACCAATTCTGGGGCCTTTTTCTTCTCAGTAGCCACTTCTCCCTGCTGAAAGTGACTCTGGGGCATTTTTTCCAGCCACTGATCAGCAATGTAAAGAGCACAATGTTACACAATCTCACTGTACTCTATAGGTCCATGCACACAAGATGGCCAAAAAAATACCAGAATCTCTAAAAGAAAATGCAGCATAAAAAACGCTCATGGTGGCTCATATTACACAAGAGTTTATGCAAGTTTATGGGCATTTACATTTGCGGTTTATTTTTTCTCCCAAAACAGTTCTCTCTGCTCATTTTTCACTATAACCAAAGTACACTTAAAAATGCAGAAGATTCCTTAACACCGCATTCAGGCATGTTTGTGCATGTCAAGCGTTTTTTTCTGACCGAAAGCTCCTCCCAAAAATTCACTTTAGATGTTTTTTTTTTTTTTCAGCCTTAAAATGCTCCTCTGCAAATATGCCTGTAAACACCCAAATGCGCATGGACAAATAGGCTAACATAGAGTTGCTTATACAGACTGAAGGAAAAACACCCAAAGCCTGTATAAGCAGCATTTTTTATGTGTGGTATGCATGAGGCCTAGAAGTTGAGCTGTACTTTACTTATCCCTAACCCCTGCTACATTATGTCATTGTCCTGACCCTTGCATTCTGTGTGCTTTGTTGCAAGTTACATATACCTGACCACTGTATGCTGTTATCTATACTATACATTCAATTTTGACCAATGTGTTTATTGTCTCATCAGTTGCTGGCTGGTATGCAGTGTTTTAGTAAAGCTGTTTTTTAAGGTAAGATGAGGAAATGTGCTAGCTCTTTGTCTATATTCTGTTTGTAGAAAAGCTAATGCTATTAAAGACTTTAAAGTGGTTCTTCAGCTCGTAAAAAATAAAATTAAAATCAAATACTGTAGCTGCTACTTTTATTAATAGGATACCTACCTGTCCACGTTTCCAGTGCTGTCGCCACCTAAGCCAGTTCATCAATGGTCCCCAGTGCCGCCTTCCTGGATGTAGAAAGCCTGCTTTGACTCCCTGCGACTTCGCAGCTGGCTTCCCACTGCACATGTGCAAGTCACGCTGTGCTTTGTGAATGGACCCGCAGCCTCCTGGGACCTATGACATGTCTCAGAAGTTGGCAGGGAGGGGGGCCAAACGTCTGCTCTGATTGCTTAAGTGGTTGCAACAGAAGAGGGAGCAGGTACCTGCCAAAAATATGTACCCACCCCTCCAAAAAAAGTGCCAAAAGTATTGGGGGGGGGGGGGGCAGGATTAAAAAAAAGAGGAACTTTCCTTTTAGGGTGAAGTTTCACTTTAAATTTTAAAAAAGTGATTGTGTCTTGACTTTTATATGTTTCTGTAAGAATGTTACATTAAAAAAATGTGGCATTAAAATTAAGGCAAATTTTGTGGATATATGAACTGCGGGAAAGAGAAGGGAAAAAAATGACAGAGGCACAAGATGCCGAAGTCAAGCGGGTCCAACAGAGGTCAAACTGCAGCTTGTAATAAGAAAAATGTATAAATCTTTAATTGCAGTAAACACGAATCAATACACATTATAAAACAAAAACAATAAAAGGAGAGAGCCTCACCACTACCAAAGAGAAAAATAGAAGAGAATATGAACTGGGGCATATGTTTTCCTTGTACACTGCAAGAAGGCTTTATTTAACCTTTAAACCATGTCCACATTTTGTTGTGGTGTGCCAAAATCTATTTCTGCACTGATTTGTCCTTCATTTTCAAAATCTGCAGATGGGAGGTATAAAAAACCACTCTGGAGTTGTGGGAGGAAGGAGACCATTATGTTTTAGCAGATAAATAGTTTCCAAACTGTGTATTTCCAGTTATTGTTGATTTATTCAAAATATTTTTAAGCTGTTCCCGCACAGTCAATAGCAGAATGACGTCCTTTCCGGATCGTGCCTCGTGTGTGCCTGTGGGGCGCCGCTATGGCGAGATCAGTCACTAGCAGTGTACCTTGGACACAGCCGATGACAGATCTGTGTACTAGCCCATTGCCAGTACCATGTGACCTGCTGTGACCAATCACAGCAGGTCACATGACAACTGTAAACAGTGGATAACTTCTTTTCATGCCATCCATTGTATACAATTGTGTCACTAGCTGTCATTGATCACAGTGATCACATGTACAGACTGGGCCGATCACAGCTTATCTGTGTCATGTAATTACCTGTGGCCAATCACAGCTACAGTTGCAAGAAAAAGTATGATGAACCCCTTGGGATTAGGTGGAGTTTTGCATGAATTGGGCATAAAATGTGCTCTGAAACGTCATCTAAGTCACAACAATAGAAGAACACAGTCTGCTGAACATAATACTACACAAACATTAGATATTGCCATGGTTTAATTGCACATAACATGTAAAACATTCACAGTGCAGGGAGGAAAAAGTATGAGAGGCCCTAGCTTAATGAATTCTCCCAGAGCTAATTGGAGCCAGGATGGTGAGCCAACCTTGACTCCAATCAGTGTGATGATATTGGATGTGTTTCTGACAGCTGTCCTGCCCTTAAAAAACACACACCTGTTTTGGGTTTACTGGTTTCAAGAAGCACTGTCTGATGTGAACCATGCCTCGCAGAAAAGAGCTCTCAGAAGACCTACGATCAAGAATTGTTGACTTGCATGAAGCTGGAAAGGGTTACAAAAAGTATCTCCAAAAGCCTTGATGTTCATGTGTCCATGTAAGACAGACTGTCTACAAATGGAGAAAGTTTAGCACTGTTGCTACTCTCTCTAGGCGTGGTCGTCCTGTAAAAATGACTGCAAGAGCACAGCGCAGAATGCTGCATGAGGTAAAGAAGAATCCCAGGGTGTCAGCTAAAGACCTACAGAAATCTCTGGCACATGCTAACATTTTTGTTGGCACATCTACAATAAGGAAAACATTAAACAAGAATGGAGTACATTGGGAGGACACCACGGAGGAAGCCATTGCTGTCCAAAAGAATATTGCAGCACGTTTGAAGTTTGCTAAAGAGCACCTGGATGTTCCACAGCACTACTGGCAAAATATACTGTGGACAGATGAAACCAAGATTGAGTGTTTGGGAAGAACACACAACACTATGTGTGGAAAAAAAAAGGCACAGCACACCAACATCAAAACCTCATCCCCACTGTGAAACATGGCAGAGGGAGCATCATGGTTTGGGGCTGCTTTGCTGCCTCAGGGCCTGGACGGATTGTTGTCATTGATGGGAAAATGAATTCCAGAGTCTATCAAGACATTTTGCAGGAAAACGTACGACCATCTGTCTGCCAACTGAAGCTCCGCAGAGGATGGGTGATGCAACAGGACAATGACCCAAAGCATACAAGTAATTCAACAAAACAATGGCTGCAACAGCACAGAATACGCCTTCTGGAGTGGCCCAGTCAGAGTCCTGACCTCAACCCGATTGAAATGCTGTGGCATGACCTTAAGAGAGCGATTCACACCAAAAAGAATATTGCTACACTGAAACAGTTTTGTGAAGAGGAGTGGTCCAAAATTACTCCAGATTGTTGTGCAGGTCTGATCTGCAACTACAGGAAACGTTTGGTTGAGGTTATTGCTGCCAAGGGAGGGTCAACCAGTTATTAAGTCCAAAGGTTCACATACTTTTTCCTCCCTGCACTGTGAATGTTTACATGTTATGTGCAATTAAACCATGGCAACATCTAATGTTTGTTTAGTATTATGTTCAGCAGACTGTGTTCGTCTATTGTTGTGACTTAGATGACGTTCAGAGCACATTTATGCCCAATTCATGCAAAACTCCACGTAATCCCAAGGGGTTCACATACTTTTTCTTGCAACTGTAATCACAACAAAAAAAACCTGAATAAATCGATTTCATTCAGTTAAATGCTTGCTTATAGCAAGAAATTCTTTGCTATAAGCAATCATATGTAAAAAATAATACTGATCACTTCCCCAAAGTTACTATGGTAACATTATACAGTATATTATGAAAAAAAAATCTTAAAAAAAGAAAAAAAGTAGCAAAAAAAAAAAAAAAAAAAAATTGAAAACAAATATTCATTTTTTTTTCCCCGTACTGTCACCAGTCAGTGAACCTGATCACTGCCACACCAGTTATATGATGATGCTGTGCTGCAATGGTGTCAGTATGTAAAACAAAATAAAAAAGGAAAATTTTTTTTTTAGTTTCTTAATTTTCCAAACAATTATGACAAAAAAATTACAACTTCAAAAAACTCGCCATGCCTCTTACTAAATACCTTGGACTGTCTACTTTGCAAAAAGGGGTCATTTTGGGGATATCTGTACCGTCCTAACAGTTTTGAGTCTCAAGAAATTAGATTGGCCGTCAGTACTTCATTGATCAATTTTCAGATATACTGTATACCAGTTTGTGAACTCGATAACTTTCTTACAGACTAAATAATAAATACTGATTTGGGTTATTTTCACCAAAGAAATGTAGCAGAATACATCTTGGCCTAAATTTATGAGAAATTATTTATTTGCAAACTTTTATAACAGAAACAAAGAAAAATGTGTTTTTTTTCAAAATTTTCCATTTTTGTTTGGTTAATTTATCAAAAAATAAAAACCCCAGTGGTGATTAAATACCACCAAAAGAAAGCTCTAGTTTGGTGAACAAAATGCTAAAAATTTAGTTTGGGTACAGCATTGCATGACCGCATAATTGTCATTCAAAGGGTTAGAGTGCCGAAAGCTGAAAATTGGCCTGGGCAGAAAGGGGGTAAAAGTGGCCGGTATTGAAGTGGTTATGGGTTTATGTACATGGGACACCAAAGTCAGAAGCAATATAAATGGAATATGATTTTAAGTGCTTTAAGAGGATAATGGCTTGCTTCTGAGTTACCTTTACTTGCTTCTGTGCTGCGACAAGCAGTTGGTTTGAGCTGCTTCTAAGCTGCTTTAAAGAGGAACAGAACCCATTGACTTAACTGTGACTAAATTCAAGGCGTGCCGTCACAGTTTGCTTGTGTTCTCAACCAAGATGTTAAGCTATTACATGTTTGGTGTCATAACTGATCATATGTGCAGCACCATGGCAAATACAAATCAAACAGAGGCCAAGATGGCAGCTTTCTTATATACAAAAGAAAAGCAGCCCAGATGCAAGCAAAGCTCATATAATTGACATCTGACTCTAGCTTGTTAACTGTGGCTACAAATCGTAAAAAACCTAAGAGATGTAGTTGCTGCCAGAAGCATTGCAAGAATCAATTGTCATTTAACTAAGCAAGAATTGTATTAGCCACATTTTACTCTTTTAAGTAAAAACCAGACCCCAGTCATCAGATTCATTGCTGTTAAACATCTATCTAGTATATATTGTACGTTAACATGGCAAAATCAAAAAGTCACATTCATATCTCTCTAGCATTGCACTGATTTACCTGTCGTCTGCTGAGATCCTTATGTCTTTCAAGTTCTTCTGCAGCAGCTTCCATTTCCTGATGATGATGGTTCCTTAATTGGTCAATGGCTGCCGCATGTTGATGATTAAGCTCTGAGCGCAGAGATGCTGCATTCCAAGAAACAAATACAGCACTGTGTTTTATGGGTCATAATGTAGAAAGCTGACATATACAGAACACAAACAAAACTTGTATTTCAACAAAAACACATATTTTACAAAATGTTAATATTAAAATACAGAAACAATTAATTGTTAACCTATTCCAGGACCAGAGCCTTTTCCCCATACAGTACTTCAGCAATTCTTATTTTTGCATTTGGGAGGGGATTGGTCTTTCATTTGGAAGCAGATTTGCATTTACTAAGTTTATAGGTTTTTATTAGAAAATGGAAACAATTAAAAAATACTAGTTAGTAGTATAAAGGATCTTTAATGTAATTAGTGCACCTCTAGATACAGCATGTATGCCATTCGTAACATGTTGTGAGTACAAGGATAACATATACAGTAAGAAATTTTTTTTTTTAACAAATATTGGAGTACTGAAGCATGTATTTGTATGAATGTATTCAATCATTCATTCATTTTCTCATGAAGCAAGAACATTGTCATCGCAAGTTTCAACTGGGTGATTGTAGGGATGGAGGACCACCTGCCCTTTGCCAGGGTCTGCTTTGCTGCTAAAAAATCAGAAGACAAAATTATGATTTTGTGTATTCTGATGGTTTCAGGTTCATCAATGCTTCCCTAGTTGATTTTTGTATACCCTTGCCCAGTATAGGGTACAGTAACTGATACACGCTGGTCCAGAATGTCTTGATTTTAGGGAATTCCTATCGTATATAAAAGAGAGGGCTCTGCGACTGAAATCCCAGGAAGACTATTTACAAGGCAGCTGGCACAAATTTTGCTAGATGTTGTAGGACCATGTACCATGAAATGACCATGTACCATTATCTATGACTGAAGCATTTATAAAGCAGTGGGCTATGGTCTACCATATTTGTTTCCTCCTGGTCCATACCACTCCCTAAGTCTCTCTCCTATTTTGCCACATAGGTGAGGGGGTTGGTTGCTAGATCTTCTAAGATTGTGCCATATGTAGATATTTAGGATGATCCTTTTCGATGTGGGCTTGTGTAAGCATGTACAGTGGGGATCGAAAGTTTGGGCACCCCAGCTAAAAATTTGTATTAATGTGCATAAAGAAGCCAAGGAAAGATGGAAAAATTTCCAAAAGGCATCAAATTACAGATTAGACATTCTTATAATATGTCAACAAAAGTTAGATTTTATTTCCATCATTTACACTTTCAAAATAACAGAAAACAAAAAAATGGCGTCTGCAAAAGTTTGGGCACCCTGCAGAATTTATAGCATGCACTGCCCCCTTTGCCAAGCTGAGACCTGCCAGTGTCATGGATTGTTCTCAATCATCGTCTGGGAAGACCAGGTGATGTCAATCTCAAAGGTTTTAAATGCCCAGACTCATCTGACCTTGCCCCAACAATCAGCACCATGGGTTCTTCTAAGCAGTTGTCTAGAAAACTGAAACTGAAAATAGTTGACGCTCACAAAGCTGGAGAAAGCTATAAGAAGATAGCAAAGCGTTTTCAGATGTCAATATCCTCTGTTTGGAATGTAATTAAGAAATGGCAGTCATCAGGAACAGTGGAAGTTAAAGCAAGATCTGGAAGACCAAGAAAAATATCAGACAGAACAGCTCGCAGGATTGTGAGAAAAACAATTCAAAACCCACGTTTGACTGCACGATCCCTCCAGAAAGATCTGGCAGACACTGGAGTTGTGGTACACTATTCCACTATAAAGAGATACTTGTACAAATATGGTCTTCATGGAAGAGTCATCAGAAGAAAACCTCTTCTACGTCCTCACCACAAAAATCATTGTTTGAACTTTGCAAATGAACATATAGACAAGCCTGATGCATTTTGGAAACAAGTTCTGTGGACCGATGAGGTTAAAATTGAACTTTTTGGCCGGAATGAGCAAAGGTACGTTTGGAGAAGAAGGGGCACAGAATTTAATGAAAAGAACCTCTGTCCAACTGTTAAGCATGGGGTTGAATCAATCATGCTTTGGGGTTGTGTTGCAGCCAGTGGCACAGGGAACATCTCACGAGTAGAAGGAAAAATGGATTCAATAAAATTTCAGCAAATTTTGGATGGTAACTTGATGCCATCTGTGAAAAAGCTGAAGTGAAAGAGAGGATGGCTTCTACAAATGGATAATGATCCTAAACACACCTCGAAATCCGCGGGGAATTACATCAAGAGGCGTAAACTGAAGGTTTTGCCATGGCCTTCACAATACCCTGACCTCAACATAATTGAAAATCTATGGATAGACCTTAAAAGAGCAGTGTGTGACAGACAGCCCAGAAATCTCAAAGAACTGGAAGACTTTTGTAAGGAAGAATGGGCAAAGATACCTCAAACAAGAATTGAAAGACTCTTGGCTGGCTACAAAAAGCGTTTACAAGCTGTGATACTTGCCAAAGGGGGCAGTACAAGATATTAACTCTGCAGGGTGCCCAAACTTTTGCAGATGCCATTTTTTTGTTTTCTGTTATTTTGAAAGTGTAAATGATGGAAATAAAATCTAACTTTTGTTGACATATTATAAGAATGTCTAATCTGTAATTTGATGCCTTTTGGAGATTTTTTCATCTTTCCTTGGCTTCTTTATGCACATTAATACAAATTTTTAGCTGGGTGCCCAAACTTTCGATCCCCACTGTATGCTGAAACAACGTCTGAAGGGAAAATTATTGTTTCATTGTCTGAGCAACAACATTTTTGATCTAGAGGTATCTGAAAATGTCCTAATTATTTTAATTAAAAAAAGGACCTTTTTTCCTAATTGAAATAAAGCTGTCACGTGACCCAACTCCTTCCCAGCCTGTCTGTATGGAAACAGTAGCAAGAGGCGCTTCTAGTCCTCTGCTGCTGGTCACATGTTCAAAATAGAAAAAAAAAAACATCCTTTGGGATATAGATTAAAAATAAATAATAAATATCAATAAACAGTTTTAAATTGTCATACAAATATATATTTGAAATCAAATCTTTATTATTTGCCAATAGCATGGTATAGGCAGATTTCTTGCAGTCACAGGCTGTGTCATGCCCCTCCAGCCTGTGTCTTAGGATCTTAGGTGATTCCTCCATAAATTTTTACTTCAAGATATAATATCCTGTCCCCATTGACTGTGTTTAGCTGGTTAATACTGTGTATACGCCCACATGTGTGACTCTGTATTCAAATGGGCTGCCAGCACTGCTCTACAAAATCCACAACTGCAGTGGGAACATGGACAGGAGGGGAGACAGAGAACCGCAGGATCAACCATGTTTTTTGCAGAATACAGAAAATGAATCCCATAATGTCTGAGTGAGTATGAACAGCAAGTAATACAGCCTTTATTGATGATTTTAATGATATGGGTTTAATTACACTTTAGGTCCTCACATGAGGGACACTAAACTATAGATACTGTAATACAATGCATGTTCTTATAAGCCCACCATTTAAATCGGGCCAGCCCAGGTATCCCATAAGGAATATGAAATTAGGGATAAAAGATGCTAGTGGGGCATAAGGGGACATTAGTTTACCAGAGTATTTCCCATTGTCCCATACCTGCAAAGAATGGCATATTATGGAGTTGGGAATTCAATTTCGTAATTGTAGGGGAATCCACAGTAGTACCTCTGCTGAGATGGGGCCTGTTTCAAAGCCTTTATGGAAACCCAAAGGGGAAGGCTGAAGATGTTATTGTATCCTGTGAGTTTGGCTATCTGTAATGGAGGACAGTAGTAGGCCAGGTGTGGGACATATAGGCCACCTCGATGTTGTGGTTGCAAAAGAGTCTTGCAGTTCACATGGGGTCTACCTTTGCCCCAAACAATGAAGAGTGGTTGATTTTGTACTATGCAGAGTATATGAGGGGTACTTTAATCAGGTACACACAAAATGGGTGGAGTCATTTTAACTGCTGCTATGTGTCCTAGCCAAGATATTTGATATCTGTTCCACAATTTAAGGGGGAGACGAAGTAGGGAGAGAGTGATATAGATCCCTAGATATGGTATGCGTTGAGATTCCCAAGAAAAGGAGAAGGTTGCTTGGAGTTGAGAAAGGATCTCTTGAGGGATAATGATATTGATGATGTTTCTTATTGTTGATCGGGAGTCCTGAGATTTGTTGCAATTTTTCCACAAATAAGTTAGTTAAAGAAGTCAGTGGATTGGTTAGGAACATGAAGACATTGTCTGAAAAAAGGTTAAACTTATGGTCATATCTTGCTAAATCTAGGCCTCTGACATTTGGGTTGTGTTGGATGGTTGTTGCTAGGTGTTCAATTGCCGGGGCAAATAGTAGTGGGGAAAATGGATATCCCAACATATTTCCTCTGGCTACAGCAAAGAGGGATGAGTGGAAGCCTAAGTATTGTATGAATGCCCTCGGGATATTGTATAGGGAATCTACCCATTTGTGGAAATTAAGACTGAAATCCCAGCTCTCTAGAAGGAGTGATAGGTATAACCACAGAACCAGGTTGAGAGCCTTCTTAAATGCAAAAAAAGATACCAAGAAGGCTGGGAAATGCCATAAATCAATAAACCAATTGGAGGATCCTGCGAATGTTATCCTATCTTGTTTAGTGTATGAAACCTATCCTATCTATGCCGCTGTTTAAACGTGTATCTTTCACTAATATTTTGGCATTCAGATTAAGAAACGAGATAGGGTGATATCTAGTCTATGGCGTGCTGTCACTGTTGGGTTTAGGTAGTCTACAGATGGAGGCTTGCAAGGTATCATCTCCCAAAAGCCCAAACAAGAATGTATTATAATAAAAAACTAGCTGTGGCACTAGTATTTCCACAGATTTTTTCTTCTTAGTATCAAGCCATGAAAGTATCTGGGCCCGGGTTGTTCTTGAGGCTTTAAAGATTTAATGTCCAGTTTTACATTCTGTAAAGAGTGAGGTGTCTCGGGTAGCTGAAGTTCATCAAGAATGTGGGGTAATGTAATGTCATAAACAATCTTTTAGCCACCATCTAAGCATAGGCTTGTGG